ATTTTTCATATTCATAAATCTATGAGATTTTCAATAATCACTACTCTTTAGGACCAATATCTCAAAAATATCTCAACCATATTATGTCATCATAATTTCGTAATTGACGTAACTATGTTAATAAGTTCGTAGCCTAATGTGAGAAAAAATGTATTTTACATGGCAAATATTTATTTTTTAGCATTATCTCATTCCATGTGTCCCAATACTTCTCCAGTGTAGTTTTCAAATAAAAGTTCAACTAATGTCAGGTCAATATTTGGATAGAGATGTCTGATTTTTGATTTTTGGCATTTAAAAGAAATGAATAAAACACCAAAAGTAAAATGGAAAATAATAAATAGAACAAGAACTTGTAAAACCTAGGATGACCCATGCCCTTTATGCCTACATGAAAAAATTCACATTATCAAGTTTCTAAATAATGAAAATTTATTAAACCACAGACATGAGTTAACGGTTTTCTGCCGACATCAACAAATTTTAGCATTAAATAATTAGCATAAATAATAAAAAAAAAAAAATAAATTTCATAGTCTAATAAAAGGCTTAAAAGCTTAACCCAATCATAAGATAGAAAAACCCTTTATGAAGTCGTCAAAAAAACAAATTGTAGTTCAGTGCGACGCGTTTAAGTACGAAACAGCCCTTTGGAAAAAAAAGGATAAATAAATAAATAAAATAAGACAAAATTCTCTAGACACTTAACGACATATTATGGTGCCAAAAGCTATCTTTCGCTATGACTGACCAGACGATGTGTGCACATGAATGCCATCATTCGCTTTGAAATGGATACCCCCACCCTACCTCGGCTTGACCTCTTTCCGAAGGTGACTGATATGTGGATAAAAATTATCTCTTAGGCCCCTTACCAAAATGGTCGCCCCAGCCGTTTCCATAGTAATTAATTTTGCGAATGAACATGCGTAAATTTCAAGATTGGTTATTCCTAAATTTTCGCTTGAGGATGAAACAGGGCTTGATACTTTAACTCAATTTAATTTTAATCATCATATTGAGGTTTTCGGCTTTCGTTTTTGAAACATGAGAACTCTTATGTAGCGAAGGAATCATATTATTTAAAAAGTAACTATAATTTAAGCTTTACTTCTGTATGTAGCACTGTTTTTTAAAAATAAAAACAAAAATACTAAAGAACTCCGGATTATTTACCTAACGTGTTCTTTCCTATTTTTCTACATATCTGCACACACACACATATACATATATGTAAAGATTTGATAAAGAACAAATAAGAAATCTTTATCAATGCAAACGATCTTTTCCTTAGCTGCATAGTATGTGCTTCGCTAGGGATGCATACAGTTTTGAATTCAGAGTTTTTATTCCCGTAGACCGGTTGCCACCTAAGGCTATATTGATTTTCTAAGTGTAGCTTAGATGTGGCACAAGGCCGAACGTATGGGACTCCTAGTAAGGATCGAACTCACTCTTCAGTCGTAACTGTTTTAGCGAAACAAACTTGCTAACCATTGCACCACGCTGAGGTGCCCAACCACCCAAAGCTATAAAATACATTCTGTCCTACTATTTACCCAGAGCTGAGGGGTGGAGAAGAGTTGGATTCATACATTTCCCAAGTGTAGTGGTACGTAAGTGAATGCAATGTAATCGACTGTAATTCGAACTCGACACTTCTTGCTGGTTGCATGGGATGAGTGTTAGGAAAAGAGAACAAACGAAGTTGTGTCTAGCGATTTCAATCTGTAATCTTATCAGACTTCAAGGAGAGATGACACGTCCTTTCGATGTTCCAAGAAATTAACGGATTCCAAGTCTGACTGGAAAACCATAAATACTGCTTTGTGTATATACTAGAATTCGTTTTAGGGCACCTCGAGGCGGTGTAGTGGTTAGCAAACTTGTCTTACTAGAACAGTTACGACTGAGTAGTGAGTTCGATCCTCACTGGGTGCCCAATACTTTCGGCCTTGTGCTACGTCTGAGCTACGCTTGGAAAATCAATATACTAGAATTTTTTTTTTTTTGCAACACGCGTCAGTATTTAGTTTTGTTGAAATAACATTTTCTGTCGAGATTTACAACGTCTACGTTTCCATCAATTTCGCACTTTTATTAAATAAGTATTTTTTAACCATTGTTTTTTTTAATAGTGGGGGTATTTTGTATGTTAAAAAATAAAACTTAATTTTTCCAAAAAAAAATTAATGAAATTTTATTCTACTAAACTACGCACACTAGTAAAATTAACTGAACTTTGTACCGTCTTACCTGTTTGCGATTCTCCCTGAAATTTGGTTTCAAGTTTGGGTCTATGTGTTTGTGTCTAGTAGACATTATGTTTGGAGGTTTTTCGCGTGTTGATTTGGGAACGTTTTTACGCACACGCCGTTTGTTTTAGAAAAATACACATTAGATTCTTTAAGAATTAATACAATAAATGTTGGTGATAAATCAATAATGTTTTATCAATAATGTTTTTACGTGTGTTTATAGTTAGTATAATATTTATAAATAATCACTCGAAGTATTTTCTTCTGTAATAAGCATTTGGTTGTGAAAGGAAAAGAATAACAAGGATTAGATTTTTAAACAACGTTTATTTGTTTAATAGAGAAGTCGGAAAATTGGTGAAATGTCGATTACGGTTGCTGAACGTCAGGATGGCCATTAGGTGTAAGAGTAGCGCCGGGAGTTGATCGATTTCTGGGATTGCTTTGACCGAGGTCACAGGATATAGTCGTTGGTTGGCTCTGTGCACGTGTTGATCTATCGAGGTCGCGGATCGATTCGTGGTAGGATGCGTTGGTTACCGAGGTGACGAGGTATTAGTTCTACGAAATCGGGTCGCGGTGATGGCTACAAAGGAATGTCTGTAGCGAGTCAGGTATGCCGAGGTGACGGCGGTGGTGACAAGGAATTAGGTGTAGTTGGGTGGTGTCGACGGTCTGTGTCGGGAGTCTAGTGGTGTCGAAGCTGGATAGTCGGCCACATTTCACGTGTGATGTTACAAATCACGTCGGTAGGCGTCGAAAACTTGTTGTTGTTGAAGCTGTAACGATTGTGTTGAGAGGAGCGACCATGGCAGTGACAACGACAACACCCGGCGTGTCGGCAGATGGCCTGACGGTCGGCGACTGCTGGTGGTCGTTATGGTAGGTCTGCTTTTAAGCAGATCCGGCAGTCTCGAGGGACATCTTGTTTTCTGGCGGGAACGTTCGCGATTGGTCAGTGTTACTTTCATTTCGGGGGCTAGGTTCGAGGACCGGAATGTGATGCTCGAAGCGTATGCGCAGAAAACAACTTTTTTATTATTTTGTTTTCTGCCTTCATACCGTTCATATCCGGCTGGCATTGCAGAATGAATCAGAAAGAGATCTAATTGCATTTCGACGTAAAGAATTAGTTTTTTTTTTTAATTATGGTGGTATTTGTAAAATAAAGTTATGCCATTTTTGTTTCTGTGTATTACGATCGAGTTTAAATGGTTGTTCAAACGCAGATCCGTTTTATGTTTGTATATAAGAGCTGTTAGGTTTCGAGATGTCTCGCCGATATAAGAGATTTTACATTGTAAGGAATTCATTTTAAAAGTATCAGCATCTGAATTGGTGTCGGATTTATTTTTCTTCCTAATTATATCTCCGATTGTCTTGGACGTGTTAGTAATGAGGATCATTACTAACACGTATTAGGGATAACTAATTTATTTACAAATTTTGTAGAAAGTGTGTTAGAGGGTAAGATTTTGAATTTTGTGTTGTTGATATTAGAAGTGCTATCTGTGGCGTTTTTTTTTTTTTGTTGTTTTTTTTGTGAACTTTGTATGCCCGTTTTCTAGCGTTGAAGATGAGATGATGTGGGCAATGAAGAAGTCTAATTGTTTTTTATATGTATTTCTCTTCTTTTTTATGTTTCATATCCTCTGGATTAAGTCACTAAAGTGTTTAATATAAAGTTTTATAAAATATAATAGGGGCTACTCTTTGCTATGTAAATTAATTTTAAATTAATCTTCTACGGAAGCCAAAACAAATATGCTCATACGACGTGATTTCTTACAATTTTTGAATTCATAATCTATAGTGCTCAATCGATAGTAATATATGAAAAAAACTCCAAATTACGAATTTCAATTTTTAAAAAAAACAATATTTTTACATTTTTAGAAATCGCGCATATTTTGTTTGGCTTGCCTACAGGGCAATTTGCACTAAATTTTAGCAAATTTAATTAAATAAATTTTCTTGATATTCATGACCTTGAGTGCTTAATCTATAGTAATATAATAAAAGAGTGAAAAAAATATTTAGGTCTTTTTTATAGACATTTTTGTAGCGTAGTTAGGTTTTGCCTACAGGCTGCTTTCCAGAGTCAGTACATGGGTATTCGAACATCATGTATTCGCACATCGTGTCGGAATCAGCGCAAACGCCTTCGCTTTAAGAGGGTGTACATATTGGGAAACACAACACATCCCGAGGACGGCATTATTGAGGACTTTGTTGAGGATGTATCGAAGGCGACACATATGTAAGGCAATGAGTTTCTGTTCTTGTTCAGCATAAAGTTTCACTGACATACACGAAAGTACATACGACACAAGTTTTGTAGATCAGGAAGATATATGTATGCAAAATGTGTGTAAATGGGAAAGCCGATATAAATAAGTTTTAGTTGAAATACATATAAACTAAATTGTTTATTAATTTGAATAAATAATGATTTCAAAATTACATATTTTCATAATTTTTTAAAAATTTAGTATTATAACATTTTCTGTTTTAAATGTTTTCTTTGCTCATCTAGGATTTTCCTGTCAAAGAATGGATGCAGAGAAAACAGAAACAAGTAATCACACTAGTAATAGCGTCATTAAACAAAAATCAAACATTTATTTTTAAAATTTTCAGAAAAACTAAATTTGATTTATTGTATTGTTTTTTTTTTTAATTTTCGATTTTTAATCTTTTATATATTTTCATTGCTTACCATTTTCAGATTTACCATTTCTGATGAGAATGAATAGCAACATTGTCAATCACAGAAAGTTGGTTGGCGCCGTGTCAGCAGAACCGCTGTTAAATGCTACCAATCGTGTCGAGTACAAGCCTCCAACAGACAAGTCTTTGCAACGACACAAAATTACTCTTTGCCGACAATCATCTCTGCCACTTGAAAACTCACAGATAAATCTAAAGAGGCAATCGCGCCAGACAAGCTTGAGTGATTTTATCCACTCATTATTTTCTGGTAAGAAGCGGGTTGAGCACATTCTTGGCGACATCGAGGAAAGAAATGGGAATGTGTCATGTCCAAACATAAATAACAGAGAAATTGTTGAAAAGAAATTTTGGCGAGGTCATACCGAGAAAACACGAAACGAAAAAGACAACATGAAGCGAGCTTCTAGTGCCAAAAAATTCTCTTCCTCCGATGTCGTATCGATTTCTCAACCCAGCTTTCAAGTTCCAAATATTTTTATTACAAGCCTTACGAGATCATGCAGCGACGATAAATGCTGCATGGGGTCGACAACAGTTGAGCAAAAGATGGCTGTCTGTAAAACTAGTCCAGTACTTTCTGAAGGCAGTTCACAAGCGAACAAGTCAGATCGAAAATGCCAGGAACAGCATGTCGTTATAAACAGCGAATTTTGCCATTATAACTTTCAGGACCCTTCACAGGGACGACTCTATAGAAACGAACACATGGCCCAGATTACTCCGTACCTGTTTGTTGGTCGCGCAGAAGCAGCTAATGACCAACGCTTACTATGCAAGCTGGACATTCACTCACTGATTGACATTACAAATTCACCAAGTAAGGATCACCATATAAACCTAGTGTGTCCTTGCACTTGTACTTCCGATGAAAACCACATACATCCAAAACTTTACGTAAATGTTGAAGATACGGAGACTGGTGCTATCAAAGAGCATTTTCCCGTTATTAATAAATTTATTGATGGTTCACGGGAAGTGGGTCGTGGTACCTTGATCTTTAGCATTTTAGGACGGTCGCGAGCACCTGCAGCAGCTATACAATATTTAATTACTCGTCAAGGAATGGCGGTGAATGAAGCGTATCAATTATTGAAGAGTATGTGGCCTGACACAGAGATAAACAGCGAGTTTCTAAAATCCTTGCTACAATTAGAAAATATGAAATCAACTATCAGAAATGTTTATTCTCAATCAATACACGGTAAATACAACTTTTCTATGCGATCCCAAGTAAAAAATGCGTGGACAGAACATCCAACCTGATATGACAGTTAACCATATATATATATATATATATATATATATATATATATATATATATATATATATTCACATTCTGGATTTCGTACAAATTACATGTCTCATAATAAAAAACGAATTTTATATTGCAACAAAATAGTTCGCTTCGAAACTCTTTAACAGTCTTGACAATTGTGCATGTAATCTTTTCCCCCCGAAAAGATGTATTTAGCAGGTGATCAGGAAATTCAACTGACCTCAATATCGCTAACAATCTTGGAGTCCTTAAGAAAGAGAGTATAGAAAATATCCTTTTTGATTTGTCCCAAAAACAGTTTCTTCCTCGACAGCATTTCACGCAGGTGATTGGCAAATGTATTGAGGAATCAGACAATAGATATTCAGAAATCCACTTGTTTCAAACTAGGTTGGATTCTATGAGCCTTCTGGCGAGAAATTAATTTTAAAAATATTGATAATTGATTTGGTGTTGTTTGCTAAATGAAGTAATATTTATTATGAGATGGATGCACACACATAATAATCTTTTGTAGCTCAGTGCCAGAGGAAACAAAATTTGTAAATATGCACACACACAAAAATATATATATATATATATATATATATATATATATATATATATATATATATATATATATATATAAAAATTCCATATACGCGTATAAACATATAAATTCACATACACATATATGACAACTATTCTGAGAGATTTTAACACCAGCCAGACGACCTATTTAAACAAAATTGATGATAGGTTAAATATTCATTTTTTGATTAAATTTTGTCTATCTCTGAATTTTGTTTCTTTTTTCCTCTCCTTATTATTTTTCATTGTCTTGCATTTCATATCTTATTGTTACACACACATATATATATATATTCGACATAGTTTTGCTTTATTTTTAGCGCAATTCTCTCAAAGCCGTTAAATGCGCAAATTGTATCAACTACTCGTTGATAATCTAAACAGGAAATTGCTGAGTAATTCAAATTACACATCCGTAGAACGATCCTAGTCTTACAAGCCAAATCTTTCTCGGATCATCAGTGTGTGTGCTCCACAAATCTAACCTTAGTTAATTGGTTATTTCCAACAACTGAAATCAAATTATAACGTGTCTCTTTTTTTTTTTTTTTTTACGAGCTTACATACCATTTCATTGATTTTATTACTTTTGCTTACGTACGATCACCGAAGTTAAGCAACGTCGAGTCTGGTCAGTAGCTAGATGGGTGACCGTTTGGGAATACCTGGATGTGTTGGCAATGTAATTGATAATGGCTCGGAATTAGCCGTCTTTTCGTCAAGAGAAAGGTTTTCTTGATTTAATAAATAGTACAATGCATGGTTTGTATTGGCTACTTTTATTTCACCAGTAGGGAAATTTTGCCGACTACTTGTCAGTAACGGAAAGAGTGAAATGAAGTAAGAAGACTTTCCTACCCCAGATTTTTGTAGAGTATCTGTTCGCTACCAAGTTGAGAATACTCGCTGAAGAATTTTGGAGGAAGAAACTGTTTTTTACCAGGAAATCTCACGTTCGCGCTAGTTGCTGATTAGACAATTCACAGACCAATGAAAAGACCCATCAACATCCTACTTCATTTCCTTTTTTTCTTGTGGAAAAACTGTCAAATATACCGTATTTCCAACAAGTTACGGGGCTATTTAATAAGAGATCATTTTTCTTCTTAATCCTTAACCTTAAATTATTTTCCTTTATTTTATATCCACAATGTTACTAAGTTAATGAAGGTACAACTACAGATTTTGCCATGTTTTTAAATCTTTTTATTTATGTGTCAAAATTGTGTCTACTATATTAAGTAGCAGACTGTCATCAAGCCGATCGTCCGCTTTCTTTTTACATACATTGCAAAAGTAATAAACCAATAAAATTGTATGCAAAAGTAATAAACCAATGAAATGGTATATACATACCATTTCATTGATTTATTACTTTTGCAAGTTGTCAACATCAGGTTACGGTGAGTAGGTATCTTTACCATCCTATACGTTTTCAACAAAATGGTACTGAACACAAAGCAAAAGCAAACTACAAGAAATTTTATGAAATGTTTATTCCGTAAATTAGGAATAAAGTGATATATATTTGACTGTGGAAAAGGTGCGCTTTTCATTGCCAGCAGAGTCCGAGTGTCCACGTTTCTGAAACAAGTGCTATTTACGTTTATCACATTCGCAATATTGTTCTCATCTTTGTTGTTATTATTACAACATTTTTAGCCCTTGTGCACTCCTACCTTCTTCGTTTGTCGATTTGAGTAACCATCAGTGAATTTCGAACTAAAAAGTATATTTAATATACATAAATTAAATATAGGATGTTACTAAATGACCGACTTTAATTAAATGTTATCAAGTTTACAAAATTAAGAAATTATTTCATTCCGAATAAATGTGCAATTTTCTGATTTTTTAATATTATCGATTTTGGAAAACTTCGTAGAATTTTCTAAAATTAGAGCGAGAGAGAAGAGGAGAGAAAGGGGAGAGAGAGAGAAAGGAAGGGAGAGAGAGAGAGAGAGAGAGAGAGAAAGGAAGAGAGAAATATCCTAATAGTTTTCTTTAATCCTATTTGTAAATTATTAAAATAGTTTCAAATTTCCCATCATGCATCTAATACTCTCACTCTCTTTCCTTTTTACCATCTCTTCTATCAAAATAATCCAGTCTTTATTGATTGTAAAAACAAAATCACAATGACAACCCAATTGTCTGTAAAAACATTTTAGAGATTTATTATTTCAGAGTTTATTTCTTCCTGTGGACATCATTAATTTGTGCATCCCAATAAATGCATAATTGCATGCATTTGCAGTAATAGAAAAAATCAATTGCAGTCATATAAGAAAGATTGAGTAAATGTAAACTGTATGTAGGTTGGTAAAATACATTAAGTAGGTACGAACAAGCGGTAGTAATTCGATGTTGAAAGTGGCATTTTGCCAATTGTTATTTATAAAATTACATTAACCAGCAAAATTGAATAAAATTATATATATATATATATATATATATATATATATATATATTCCTTTCTGTGAAACAGTTCATGATGCCAAATCATTTAGTGCAAAATCCTAAAGAAAAAGCTAAAGATTAAAAAAGAAAAGGAAAAGAAGAATGCAGGTGATGAGTAGTCAGTGTATCAGGCGTTAGCTGTTCGTCTGAGGATGACTGGTAGAATGCATTTCTGCTTATATGGTCTTAGAAGTTATGCAAGCTGAAAATGCCGTGGGAGGATATGAGACTAATTTAAACGGAAAAAGAGAGGGAAGAGACAACCAGCTGGCATTATTATTATTATTATTATTATTATTATTATTGTTGTTGTTGTTGTCGTCGTCGTCGTCGTTCTTCTTCTTCTTCTTCTTCTTCTTCTTCTTCTTCTTCTTCTTCTTCAGCATTTTCGGGTATCCCGAAACTTTTTCGAGTTAACTGTCTCAAAATATGTTAGCATATTACCTAAGTAGTTTTATAAGCATACCCGACTCATTTTTTATCTCCTTTCACTCTTACTCCACTCATAACTCTTCTCTCTCTCTCTCTCTCTCTCTCTCTTTCTTCCTCTCTTTTGTCGAGACCCAAAAACGTAGCAGGCTCATTTAAGTATCATTTTTATTGTCCGTCCACTTGAGTGTCATATTCTCTTTTACTTATTCACCCAGAAGTTAGTTTATAGCAAAAAGCAAAAAGATAGTCTTTTATTTCTTCCAGTTGAAGAAAGCTTGCGCGTTTGTCGGATTGAATCGACTCATCCAAACGAATACCATGGCTAGCGAATGGGTAGTTAATCAGTTGAAAACTTTTCACGTAGAATTTGATTCCGCTGATACAGAGAAAACTGGCAAATTGAGGTTTCGTGATATTGTTTTCCTTTTGGCTCGCAATGGGTTCCGCCGTAAATACAATGAAGCAAAGGTAAGTGGCAGAATTTAGAAAGATAGACAGAAAATTCCCTCAATACCCACCAAAATTGACGCCCTGTAGCCAATTCTCCCCACCACGCTCAACTCTCTTTCTCTCTTGCTGCAAAATCGAAGTTGTGTGTTTTTCACGAAACTCTTATATTTACCAACGCTTTTCGTCTCCTGATAGTTTTACACACACACACGCACGCGCACGCGCATGCACAGACACACGCATGCACGCACGCACACATTCACTAAATCAAGAATTATTCAATAAATCAAGAAAAGTTAATTTATTTGCTCGACACGCTCATCAGTGCCAGATGCTTGATAAATCAAATATCTGGACTTAATGAGCATTTCAGCGCGAATCTCGGTCAACCAGATAAGCCATTTGAACTCTTTTGGATTTATTGAATATAGATCTAGTTATATTCAGCTCTTTTTGGCAAAAGTTCAGCTCGCCTGGAAAAACACATTAAATTCCCGTAATTTTCACCAATCTTTTTAGTTGTAATTATTATTAAGATTATTTATGAAACTTATGAGATATAATTCTCATAACTTTCATTAGATTTTGTTCCTGTCGTTTATACTCTCGCCACTAAACTTATACAATAGATAAACGCCATAGTGCAGTTGTGAATTTGTCGATTGCAAACATTCCATATTCATTCAGTAGGTTCTCCGAACATATATGCACATATCGATAATTATATATGTAAATAAACACGTATGTATCTATATACTAGGGACCTTCTAAAAGAGGCGATATGTAAGGTTTAAAATTAACTTTTAAAAATGAAAAATCTTTCTTGAAGCTTTTATTTTAGTTTTGATTTCAAGCTAATAGATTACATTTAATATTTCGAATAATCAAAATACTTTTCTCTATTTCAAAACTAACTTAAATTGACTGGAAGGAGTTGGGTTTTTTTTTTTTTTGCTAAAATACTGATTTCTGCACCATATTTAGCCATCGTTCTTACAAAAATAAAATATAATTTTCTGGCACTTTATTTGAAGAATATTATCAGAGTTAAAATTTAATTAAGCAGATCTGAAACAAATATTACTTATTTTAAGTTTTAAATATCGCAGAAATACAATTTAACACGGCGGTAACTGTTTATTTAAGCTGTTGACATGTTGATAACTTGATGACTAATGTTTTTCTACAGTGGCTATATCTGTAAAAAATAATTGAGGAATATAATGTGAGCACCTTTTTAAGTACTCAGTAATCTTAAAAATTTAGGAAAATATTTTCCTGTAATCTAATGTTTTATTAAATTTTAGAAACTTTGGCTTTACAATTCCTGTAGTTATTGCTCTTATTATCTGATAATGACGTGTATGGACGTCCGTATCTGCAAAAATCGGCAAGCATACACATACAATTTTTTTTAAATACTCAGTGTCCTTAAATTGTAATACGCTTTATGATTTATGATTAGTAAATATAGTTTTAACTTAATAACAATATTCCATAACCTTTACACGATTGAATCAATTTGAATTAGAATAATTTATAAAGTTTTTAACTTTATAAATTATTATAATTATTCTAAGTCAAATTAAAAAAAAATGAAAACAAATGTAAAAATTCATTCTTTATCGAAAAAATGTTTTTGTGACAATATTGTCCTTAATATATCTTATCCATAAAAGCAATTAAAGCCTTTCTAATTAAATAATGTTTTAGTTTTATTGCATTTTTTATTTTACGATTCAGAGCAGATCTTCTGTAACTCGGGTTCATGTTTTACAAAAAAATAACTGCTGATTTAAATTCTCAAAGGAGTTCCGCTTTTAATTAATATAAATATTAAGCTTTAGTTTAAACCATTGAATTTTTCGAATTATCATAAAATTAAATAAGTGGTGTGTAACGGATGTAAAAAATATTTTTGCCAAAAAAAAAACAAAAAAAAATTCTGAAATAATTTCATTCATTTGTAAATAAGTCCTGAAAGTTTCATTTAAATCCGACAATTATTTGATTTTTGCAATAATTTCCAAATAAATGTGTTTTCACTGCAAAAATGACGCAAAAAAAAAAGAACGGGCCAATGTCCCCCACCCCGTATAATCGCCACTGCTCATGAGTTAATTTATTTTTGTTAGTTAAGAATTATTTTAAATTTATCTACCGAAAAAATGTCTCAATAAATCTTTCGACTTTTATGATATTTGCTATAAATATATGTTTGGTTTAAAGTATTGGATTTTGAACAAAAAATATTAACCATCGTAATGTATTTACCTTGTGTTTGTTTTGCCCAGAGTTGTAGAATTTGCTGCCCCTCTAAACAAGGTTCTAAAACTGGACAACATCTAAAAAATTAAAGAAAGATATTTTTTTATTGCAGAAAAAGGCAACGACAAAATAATACAGGTTGGGTATCTATCTTTTATCCGAAATTTCAACTTCTGAAAACCTCCCAAATACGGAAGTTTTTTAGGTGACATGCCGCAAATGGAAAATTTCAGAAAGCCCAATTACGTAGCCTACGTTTGCGTCAGTTTTTGTTAGCAATCGCCCCAACAACACCTTCGTGCGTGGATTACTTACCAGGTGTTTCGTGCCTAGTAAAGATATTATTCAAAATGTTAAAAAGTCCTTTATTTTTGTAAGTAGTGCCCATGTTTTTGTACCCGTACAAAACATTTTTATGTGAAATGTTAATTTCACCACTTAAAAATCTGCGTCAGCATTACATCATTAGCATTATTACCTGTATCTATTTGTACACAAAATTTATTAAATCTTATATAAAACTACTTTTAGGGTATGTGCTATTTATATAAAACGACCGTCAATGTATATGTATAAGCTGTGTTATGAAAATGTAAAGGAATATCGTGTTTACACTTGGGTCCCATTCCCAAACTACCCCATTTTATAGATGTTATTATACAAATTAAGTAGACTGTATTCCAAAATCTGAAAAAAAATCTGAAAACCGAAGCACTTCCGGTCCTAAGAATTTCTGATAAAACTTGTAATATGAAATAGCATTTTAAAATACTTAGAGAAAAAAAAAGGTTTAGTATATAACAATTTTTAGGATAAAATATTATTACATTAACAGGCAATATGAAAATATATCCCTTAACAATTATAGTAGTAACTGACCACAAAGTGAATTCAGGTAAAAATGGCACAAGTGGAATGAGAGAGGAAAAATAGCACAACTAATTTTGTATGCTACTTCATTACTAATTCACCTAAAAGCTGCTCCCTAAAATTTGCCGCATCTCGCTTCCTTCTAGTTCCGTCAATGATATTCTGATAACATTTACCTTTCTAAGGTACCCTGCCCCACACACTTTCAAATGAAAGTCCGCCTATCACCTCAACCAAATCCAGTAAAGCTGAATAAACAACTACATTTGCATCTTGCTGAATAAAAGATAAAATACATAGGCATAATGTTTGGCTGCATGATTTTATGCTGTAAAAAATGCTGACGATTTTCTTTTCTTTTTTTTTTTTTTTGTCATATATAAATTACAGGGAAAACATTGGGATAGCCATGCAGCATGCACATATGGAAATTACACTTTTAGCAAATTAACCGAGCCCAAAAGTTCTGTTTTTTCCACTTCAGCAAATCCATCATCTCCTTGTTTGGAGCTGCGAATAAGTACCTCTCACGTCTGAATACATCATCTCTATTTTTAATGTAAACGTTTGTACGACTGTGAAAATTCAGTAATGGAAACTAATTATGGTCTCTTCTATGTCTATTGTATCAAGGTGTGTAGATAAGGGTTATGGAGGTTATCAGTGATGAATGAGTTGCTTATCTATGACAACGTCCATTCCCAGCATATATCGGTAAAATTGATTTTGACCTTCTGTAATGATTAAAAGAAATGAAAAGAAGTGTTGAAAAATACAAAATAAATCTTTATATATAACAATAAGACAGGAGAATAAGGTAAAAATTGAAGTTTCAAGAGTTCAAGTGTAAGAATCATGGCACATAAGAGAGATAGAGAGACAGAGAAAGAGACCGGGTGGAAGTGTATTATATATGTGTGTGTGTGTGTGTGTGTGTGTGTGTGTGGAGGTATGTATCCAAATGTGGAAGCTGCCGCTTGACCACGTACTGAAGGAAGGTAAGTTTGTATTCAATATAGCAACTGTTAAAAATTGTTAACTGTTTAAAATCGCCAGATAGTCGTGCAAATGTATTTCGTTTCTAAGTATGTTACGATGACTGCAGCATCGAAGATTGGACAAAACTAATTTATCGACTCTGGTTTTAGTTGATTTTCCATTTGTTTATATACATATCATCAGGTTCGGATCTTATCCTATATCCTGGTTGTGAAAGCTTTGGTTGGTCGAACTATTTATTTTTAGAAATGGTGAAATTTTGGTCTCCTTGTTATTATTTATTCATTTATTTCTTTACATCCTGATTGTAAAAGCTTTCTGTTTAGTAGGTCGAACTACAGCTTTTTTGCCTGTTGATTTTTATTATCCGTTTATTTATAGAGCTGGTGAAAGTTTGGACTTATTTATTTTTATTTATTTATTTCTCTATCACCACATAGACATCAGTGAAAAAATGCATGAAAAATCAATAAAAATTGTTGCAAGATTTATTCCAGAATATTATTAAGAATCAAAATTATTCTGGTGATTTTTAATTTCATTGTGAGGACTTTGTGCCTCAAATTTTAGTTGTTAAATATGACGCATTAATTATTTTTTAATTTTTAATGTTATGTCACTTGAACGTGACATAGTGTGGTTTCTGAGATTTATTTTAAAACGCCTATTTTTAAATTATAAGTGATTTTGTTGATTCATGATTTTTTTCAACTAGAAAATAATATTTTATAAAATAATCGCCAAAATGACTGAAGTTTGCATGAACTGATATGAACTGCAAACAATTCCTTTAACGTTTTCAATTCAAATATACGAAAATTAATTAACCAGATTATTAAATTGTTTCAATATAATAGACTTAATTTGTCTGTTGTTTTTTT